CGGTCGGCCATTTTGAAGCAAACGAATTTAATTAATTAGACCCTAATAGTTTTCTGGCTATTATCCCTAAACACTTGCCACGTTATCTAGCAATAGTAGTAATAGTAATTAATTAATAGTAATTATCCTAGCTCATAAAATAATCATTTTCCATTCCTTAAAAGTAGTTTTGAAAGATTCTATCTGCCCGAAACGACGGAAAGCTTTCTGGTTGCCTTTTAAAGGCGCAGTTCATTTAGTTCCCCCTATGAATCACACTCGATCGTTAATGTTACGTCTACCTGCTCTTTTATTTTCTCTCTAACTTCCTCAGCTACGCGTCTGACACGAATTTTTTATAGACTGTAGGTCGTGTTCGAACGCCCACCAATGCGAATTCTTTGATTTTTCTCTCGTATTAAGTAAATCAGGAGGAGAATAAAATGAGACTCGAGAAGATATCCCCGATCGAAGAACAGAGTATAGTATATTTGGATCGTTATATTTAGAATTGCTTTGCTGAACCAGCAGCTGTGTCTGCTTAGGAATTTTCTTTGTCCCGACATTTCCTTATCTAACAGGAGTTTACTAATTTTGATCAGAGTGGAGATAGCAATGGTCATTTGTATAGTCCAAGTGCAGTTGAATGGTGTAACTAGGTAGGGACCTACCCCCTGACCTATAATATAAAATTGGTCCCCTTAGGTGTTGGGTTCGAAGAATTTCCAGCTGATTGGATCTGCATTGAATATTCATTTGCGAGCGACATTCCTTACTTTTTATGAGACTTTTCATGATTCCATTGTCGCCTATCGAATCTCTCTTTGTCATATACTACGTCGTCCAAGTTCATTTTTAATTAGAATTATTAGAGATACATTTACTACGTTGCTTTTCTAACTCGCAGCATTAAAATACTATATAGTATATCAAATGACGATAGGAACAAAAAATTTTTGACCTGTGAATTTTTTTTCCATCCACAGGGTTTTCCATTTGACGACGACAGTTTTGGTCGACGCAGCGACATCCGGGCCCACCTGGACGACCTAGCAGCCCGGCATCCGGAGTTCGCGGACCACCTGCTCGGCCCCCCCTGGGGTGATATACCCTTCCAAGGCTCTTTCCGCAACCGAAATCGTGGCTCTGGCAACGGTGGCCACAGCTACCAGCAGCAGCAGGGTTATTCGGACGAGGACGCGAGGAGCCAAGCGAGTGGAAGCAGCGCGACAAGCGGGGCGAGCGGCAGCTCTCACGGCGAGGCAGAAAGCAATCAGAATCAGCAGTCGCAAACATCCGAGCAGACACCCAAAAAGAATCAGATACCTCAGTACGGCTTGCGTAATACGGTGGACATAGGACAACACCATCATAACATGGAGAACACGGACAAAGGAAATCGCGGACAGCGTTCGATGTCAGCTCCGCCAGAGAACAGACAATCGTTCGCTCAGCCACAGCCTCAGCCGCAGGAACAACAGAGCCAACAGCCTTCTGGACAGAGGTACGTCTCCAGGATAGACATAACACCGCAGCACAATCAAGCTCCGCAACAGCAACCACAGCAACAGCCACAGCAGCAGCAGCAGCAGCAGCCACAGAAACCTCAACAGCAAGGCAACGTCAGGCATATACCTATCTTTGTAGAGGGTAGAGACGAGCCCGTGCTGCCAAGGAGTTTCGACGAACCACCGAATTTCCGGAGAGAGCCATCTCCTACACAGTTCCACACTCCACCTCACTTCCAGAGATCGGCCCCGTTCGGGGATGTTTTCGGTGGAAGACACCAGTGGTCTCCGCACTTCCAGGACACTTTCTACCAGCAACCAAGCTCGTTCGAGCATCCCTCGCGCAGACAACAGCAGCCTCCAACTTTCCAGCAGCCTAAGAAGCCTCAGCAACAGCAGTACGAACAACCGAAGCAGCAGCAGCAGCAAAAGCCCCAGCAACAATCTCAGCCTCAGCCTCAGCCTCAGCAGCAGCAAGAACCTCCACCAAAGCCTAAGCCCACTCTTCCAAAGGATCCTCTGGAGAGGGTAGCCTTAATTCAGAAAGACATAGACTCCTTGGCGGAACAGGTTAAACAGTACACCGGAAATTCAAGGACGGATAAACATTATATGTATCTGGATGAAATGCTGACGAGGGAGTTGATTAAATTAGATGACATAGAAACAGAAGGTAGAGACAACGTCAGACAAGCAAGGAAGAACGCCATTAAAACTATACAAGAGACTATCAGCTTGCTCGAATCCAGGGCGCCTCTTCCAACGCAGCAGACCTCTACAGAGGAGAAAAAGGAGGAAAAGGAACATGTTTCTAATGACCCTGAGAAGGTTGGACAGAGCGCTGAGTCTATGGACGTTGAACAGAAATCAGAGAATCAAGAGGCTGGTAAAGCTGAGAAGACTGAGGCTGCAGAAAGTGAGAAGAAGGAAGAGAATCAGTCCAAAGAACCCATACCTTTACCTCCCTGTCCATCGACCGAGGGAAAGCCTGAAGAGACTAAAGAGTCTCCTGCGAACGTTCCCAACGACCAGGCGGCGAATCAGCAACAAGAGACTAGTCAGACTTCTGGCGATGCCATGGACACGACTTCGGACTTGAAGTCCAAGCCAGCAGAAGCGCAACCAAACACGGAGAACGTGGAGGAGAAGAAAGCAGACACTGTTGACGAACAGAAGAAACCAGAGAGCGTAGTTGAACAGAAAGCAGAAGAGAAACCAGCCAAGGGAAAGAAGAAGGATGCGTCCGAGAAGACGGAAAATAAGAAAGAAGAGGACAAGATGGAGGTAGACAGTGAAGTTAAACAATCACCGAAGACACAGAAGAAGGGCAAGAAGACGAAGAAGCAGGCTGCAGTCTCCGATAAAGCTATACCCTTGCCAGCACCGGAAGACACTGCTGCGAGCGCAAAGTAAATCTTCAGAAACCTGAAGGTGGAAAATAAAGAACTGTCTGGTGCACCGAGAGATACGCGAATCTTCTGGCTTCGTGGGAGAGAGAACCACTTCCTAATGCAGAGGCAAATAATGTTTAGGCAGTTTCTTACCTAGTATGTCGTTGCCTCTGGTGGTTGCTGTTTTCTCGTTTCCCAATTTATTTCTTGGTGTCGGATCGAAAGCGTCGTGGATCGACGCGTGTTTGCACAATCGTTGTGGAAACGAGAGAACGGGAGCATTGTTTCTTTTGTTCAATTTCGTTGATTGCTCGCATCGTGAGCCTGACTGTGGTTAGACCATACTTACGTTAGAGTTTCATCGAGGCATAGGCTGTTTGAACAACAAATACATTGAGCTGCTTCTGATTATAAACTATGTCCTTTAAGAATTTTATTTGAAACTTTTTTATTGTAAGCATTGACGCAGTGAGAATGGCTGTGCGTAGAATGCCAGTTTGTATAACAATCATTTAACTACAGCATGATATATGCTAGTTTACAATTATTGGTATGTACCAATAATAGTTTCTTTAGCTTTATTACTGTATTTCTGTTGACACCTTGAGGACCAATACTGTTTTCATGAAATATAACTGGGATATTTAAAATTTAATAATTGCATGTTTTATCAATACATATGGATATTTGGATCCTCGAGGTGATAGCATTAAGAAATTTTGTAATTTCCAAAAGGACAAAGTAGGAGACTTAAATAAGAACAGCCATGTAAGCCTTATACGAATTATATCAGCAACAACAGAATTACTTTGAATTGTCAGTCTCCTAGATGATAGGAGTGATTTTCATTTATTTTTCTTTCTTTTTTTTATAGTAACGCTACATATTTATTAGACCGTTTCCTTTCTTTTATCGACTCCATTGGCTGGGTTGTTAAAAGAAAGGGAACAGATTGATGATAATTGAGAGATGATCTCAATTAAGAGAGAGAGAGATAAGCGCTGAAGCTTTGTTTTACTTTCAACTTTTTAAGGAACCGGTAATTAGTGTATTATCGAGACTGACCTGGTCGATATTTGATAATAGGGCGAAATTTCATACGATTACGTGGAATTTTATTAATGATTCGTTTAGCAAGGAATGAACGTGTACGTTTCCGGAAGTATTACAGCGCACGCCTCGAGGCATAACAATTAATTAACTTTATTATTATTATAAAATATTATTTATAATTTATTGCGCGCCTGCTGAACGATTCAGGCACGTGTTTCGTGCGAGAAATTGTAATAGGGTGTTGATACGCTTTAGAAATTCGTGGATTTATAAAATCATATCCTTGGTCTAACAAGATTCAATATTAATTAATACTGTACAAGCCTTCTAGATAAAAAATTTTTATTATCAATTCTACCTTCTAAAATAAATGCTGTAATTATTATTTTTCTTTTTTGGAAAATAATTTTGGGGTATGACTGTAGAACAGTCTCCTTTATTTTAAATAAACTGAACTTTATTTATTCATCTAGCATGAAGTATCCACGAATTCCTGCAACGCTCTGTATCATATCTAGTGTCACCAACAAAACATACTTGTGTGGTATACGAACCGTGTACATATTAGTATCGTATGTGTTCGTCTTGTAAAAAATGATGCATCCTTTGTTCATTGTTAACAGTTAATTACCCTTAGATTAATAAGAGCAACATAAGTAAACTTTCATTCAGAAATAATGAACAGTATCAATGAATCTATTCTTTCTTATATAATTTTGCTTTTATTGATATTTTACCTTCTGTTTGATACTGGGTCACCCGTGACCCGTACATACAAAAATAGAGGAATTTATTATAATTACAAATTGCATGTGATCTTTGAAATTGATTTATATTTTCTGTTATGAATTTTGTATTTAAAATGTGATTAACACTTTGACTGCCACGTTGCCTATTATGCGTGGGCTCTAAGTTAAAATACTCCTATCAGAAAAATAATAAATTAGGTTTATTGAAAATACTGGCAGTAAAAGAGTTAAGAAAAAGATACAAAGTAACAAAAGGCAACATTGGGTGCATTATTTTGATGGTTCCTTGTTCAGGGTGATACTCATTATTTCTCGTCTTGTTTTTTTTTCTTTTTCTTTATTTTTCCTGTATGATGTTTACGTATCTGTAGAGATATGCTCTTTCAGCCAGAAATTTTGTATTTTTTGAACGTGTTGCAAAAGGAGAGAAAGTGAATGTAGTCTGCATGTGTTTCGAGTGAATGAGCGAGTATGAATTTACACAGTCCAGTAAGCAAATTAAAATAAAACGAAACTACAGAACGAATGATTAGACGTATAAATGCGGTAAAATATTGTAATTATTTTATGAAGAAACGCATTCGATTGAAAATACAAAGCCTGGTCTTTTGAATCGTCAAATAACTGGCTATGAAACATGTATCCGATTCCCTTTGTATCCTTCCTTAAATTTGTTTCAAACTCGAGACGTAAAAAATCGTTTTCGTTGAAAAATTTATCGAGGAAAATGCAAAGCGAATCTCGAAGTCGAGAAATAGAGTTTGGCTTTGGTCCAGTGTGATAAAACGAAACAAAAATGTCACTGTCTGAAAATTTTCTCGAGTTTGAAACGCATTTAAGTAACAGCACTCCTTTTGCTTCTCTCTTTAACTCTTGTATTCTACTGTACACGTGTAATTTGTAATAGAAAATAATTATTTCGATAGATAAGTTCAATCAAATTGAAAAGAAGAATGCTGAGAAAAATAGTAGCGTGCTTTCTTTGAAAAAATAATATGCAACTCCTGGTGCTGAAGGAATTCCGGGTATCAACGACCTGCTAATAACAACATCCGTTGCGTGTACACGCCTTGTTCACTGCCAAATTCCAATGAATTGTCTGTAAAACTGAACATCCCTCCTTGATGTATTAATGCTAAGAAGAAAGCAATCGACTGCAAGACAAAGGAAGTAATTGAACTGTTCATATATTCCAGTAATTTGATATAAATTGCAAGAAATTGTCAATACGCGATGGATTCGTTGTTGCATTAAGAGTTGAAATGACTTACATATTATTGAAATTGTATTATAGAAAAGAATTCATTCTGTTCAAGGTACTTCTTATCGTTAGTTGACAATCATTCTGCAAACTATGAACACGTGTTCATAGAATCGTTGAAATTCAATGTGCGTGTTGTATTTGCGCAAACATAGTTCTCTTTGTGACGTTGCCTTATAAATTGTTGTTGAAAGGCATCAATAATGTGATATGATTATCTCGGTCTGAAACTGGTTATAATTAGCTGATTAGAATTGATTTTCTAGAAAGAATTAAAAGAGAACCAGCTTTGAACACTATTTTAAGAAATGAAATTATTAGGTGTAATATTCTAGCTTTTTGATACAAACATTCCTATAAAGAAGTAATCAATTTTGTGCAACTCTTGCATCTTTTAGTGTAATAATAATAAATGAAAAAAATCATAGGATTATCAAATGAATCGGTGTGAAAAAAGATAGATGCTTCCTTCGTTAGTAACGAACGTCGTCGAAAACTTGGCACAGCAGATGCATACGAGTCATCTAAAAATAGCAGACCTGCTTAGACTTTGAGAAGGTTTTTGCGTCGCGACGCCGACCACCTACCACGGGGAAATCCCGTTGAACATGTCGGTGGATGTCTTTCCTGACATCTACGCCAGGTCGTTGAGTTCACCTTGGCATTTAAACCAGGAAGATAATAGTTAAGTGTAGTTAGAAGCAATTCTCTGAAACACTATTTTAACAAGTTCAATTCTTCAAGCACCCCACTCTCTTAAATTGCATTATTTCCTTTCTCTCCAACTTAATTGTGAATATTAATTTTAAAAAAGTCCATAATTTCCTTTAGTTTACTATCTGCAAAATTAGTTATTTTTGTATTTTTGTTCTGAAATGTGAACAGAGAATTTCTTTACTGTAGATTAGTTTTTTTAGTAAAAGCATATATATTCATTACTAAATACATGAAATTGATAATGTTATTAGAAAGCTAGTTTTCATTACATAAAGCAGAGAATAATTTCTAAGAATACATCACAATATCAGCTTGAAACTTACAACTACGTTGTTGATTACATTTCTATATTAATTTTTTTGTGTGTACAATGCGAGGAATGCTTTTATACCAGCGTGACCATAATATCAAAATCGCAAATAATAATACTATTCATGAACCCTTCATAATCACACAGCCGTGTCCCGTTAATAAAATTTCGTTTAATAATACCAATCGTAAGCAATATCTGAACATATTTCTATTAATGAAGATTCGATTTCGTAGCTGGTTCTCTTTTATGTTTCCGCATCTCGAAATCGTCGTGATTGTCCTCGAAGCATGTAGGACAATAAAGATCACCGTGACAGCCTAGACATCGTTCTAAATTTTCAGTTTGATCACAGGTCACGCATGATGGTTTCTCCTCTTCGTCGTCTGTACATTTTCCTTCCTACATTCGTTACCATTATAATCAAAATTATATATACATTAGCTACTGATTTAAAAAGATTAGTATGGCATACCTCAATTTCCATTTCTTGTAATTCATCTACATCTTCTTCATACTTTTTCTCCAATTCTGCTTCGGCTAAAGCCTTCGCGATTAATTTCTTTGCTACGTGTCTCTCATCATCATCGTCGTCATCAAGGTTCTTATTTGCATGCTAGAAAAATTATAAATCTATTGGTGTACCAGCCAATCTATAGATCATGTTTATATATCAATTACTTACTGTATGAGGTTTATCAGCAATACCTTGCAGGGATCTTAATCTTGCTTGCATTTCGCTAACAGAATCACTACCCGAGGACAATTCTAACTGCTCAAGGTATTCCTGTATCAAGTCATCTGCTTTCTGTTGATCTGTTCTAGTGTCCACTTGATTTACCTGTACAAAATAACTGTTTATGTGATACAACAAAACCTATTATTAGAATTTACATACATTTACTTTGTGATTGCTAGCATCAGGATCTTCGTCCTTTAACAAAGCTAATCTCCTTTTTATTTCGTCCACACTTAAGGCAACAGTTTTGTCCTCCTCTTTCAATTTTCGCAATCTATCAACTATCTCTTGATCTGCAGGTTCTAAGCCTTTTTTAAATTTATCCCAATGATTTGTGTGTTTATACATTACAATGGGAGGTTTAGCTGGATTTTCCAAAGAATCTAATCTAATAAACAAATGATACAAATTAATTATATTACTGATTATTGTATATATTATGTAAAATGGGAATACATAGAAGAATTTGTAAGAAATGTATTACTTCTTTGTAATATCAACTGGAGGCAAAAGCTCGCTGTGTTGATCAGACATATCCATACTACTATTAGAGTTTGAATTCTTTGTAAAATTATATTTACTGAAACAACGTCCACAGACCTTTTTCACTCCTTTATCTGGAATATTACATTTATATTTGAGGCACTTATTGCAATATGAAAAACCGCAACTGGGGCAAGCAACCTATATGGCATAAAGAGAAATTAACAAATGATGAAAACAAAGATATGAGAAAAATGTTCTAATAGGGTTAATACTTAAACTATCTATTTGAAAGTTGTGGAAAACGATTTTATATTGTAATAAGATAGCATAACCTTAAATGCGAACTAAAACATTATAAAGAAATGTCACTTACTTCTTTAGTAAAGAAAGAGAATTTTGTTTGACAAATATTACATGACATGTTTAATGTACTTTTTAAACGTTGTTAAAAAATATCATCACAAATATGATAGAAAATTAATTAACATGTACTGTTGCAGCGATTCTGACGTATAAACCACTAAATTAATAGGAATCGACTATAGAATCTACACAATTTGAAAAATGTATATGTTAGCTTTTTGACAATGTAATCGTTTGTAATATGTAAACAGAATTTCGCAGAATCTTGTCAATGAATTAGACTATACTGGAAAATTTGCTTCCAGAAAATATTCGTGTCGTCATTTCTAGTTATCACTCTTGTAAAAATACTTCTTATGGCTAACTTCAGCCAATACAATAAAAATCCTTACATCCCATCATCCGTTACATCCCTACTTTCTTTATATCCCTGCATCCCTTGTATCCCTACAACCCCTTAATAAATATTATAAATATAATAATATATTTATGGACACTGGATCGAGTAAAGGTAAGTAAGGGCTAAGTAAAGGTAAGTAAAGGTAAGTAAAGGTAAGTACGAGACCGCAACATTGTTGCAAACGCGCGACTCCGGCCTCACAATTTGCAACTTTGTGGCGTCGGAAAGACCAAATGCATCATAAAATTTTAATTTCTTGTGATGCACTTGGACTTTCGAGCGCAACAAAGTTGCAAATCGTGAGGCCGGAAACACGCGTTCGCAACAATATTGCAATTTCGCGAGAGAATTTTAGGATCTGCAACATTGTCGCGAACGCGCAACCCCGGCCTCACGTTTTGCAACTTTGTTGTGCTCGAAAGTTCAGGTGCCTCACAAGAAATAAAAATTTTATGAGGCATTTGATCTTTCGAGCACAACAAAATTGCAAAACGTGAGGCCGGGGTTGCGCGTTCGCCGCAATGTTGCAACCCCGCGAGATGAGTTTTATGTTTGGCAACTTTGTTGCGAGCCCAAAAGCGTGATTTCAGAAATGTAAGTGATGGTGGAGTGTAAGGGATGCCAGGATTTAAAGTAAATGTTTTTTTTTTTTTTTTTAACGTGGGGAAATCTTGCATAAGACCCCCCGCCGATATCAGGGTGAGGGCGGTGGGGGAGTGTCAGATTCCTACTGACTAAAACCCCACGGCGCCCAGCACTGGCGCTAATAGAAGATCTTACGTGTATTACTCCATGTATGCCATAATGTCGGTATGCAGAGTATCACTCATGTTTCGGGGTCTATAACACCCCATGATGATTTTAGGTTGATGCCCAGAGAGAGTCAATGGGGTTCCTGAAACCCCATAATGATTTTAGGTTGGTGCAGGGAGAGTGTCATCGGGGTCCTTGGCACCCCAAGATATTTTACCAGTGCACAGAAAGAGTCACCGGGGTCTCTGAAACCCCAAGATGATTTTACGTTGGCGCATGCAGAGTGTCAACGGGGTCCTTGGCACCCCAAGATGATATTATGTCGGTGCGCAGAAAGAGTCACCGGGGTCCCTGAAACCCCAAGATGATTTTAGGTTGGCGCGTGGAGTGTGTCAACGGGGTCCTTGGAACCCCAAGATGATATTTTATCAGTGCGCAGAAAGAGTCACCGGCGTCCCTGAAACCCCAAGATGATTTTAGGTTGGCCCGTGGAGAGTGTCAAAGGGGTCCTTGGAACCCCAAGATGTTATTTTATCGGTGCGCAGAAACGATCATCGGGGTCCTTGGAACCCCAAGATGATTTTAGGTTGGCGCGTGGAGAGTGTCAAAGGGGTCCTTGGAACCCCAAGATGTTATTTTATCGGTGCGCAGAAAGAGTCACCGGGGTCCCTGAAACCCCAAGATGATTTTAGGTTGGCGCGTGGAGTGTGTCAACGGGGTCCTTGGAACCCCAAGATGTTATTTTATCGGTGCGCAGAAACGGTCATCGGGGTCCTTGGAACCCCAAGATGTTATTTTATCGGTGCGCAGAAACGGTCATCGGGGTCCTTGGAACCCCAAGAAGTTATTTTAGCGATGCGCAGAAAGTGTCGCCGGGGTCCCTGAAACCCCAAGATAACAGGTCGGTATGCAGTGTACTACCGATGCATCGGGGTCTCTAGTACCTCGGATGCTATAATGTCGATATTCAAAGAGGATCACCGGTGCTTCGGGGTCCTTAACATCCCAAGTCATCGGCCATTATGCCATCTATATAAAAGCGGCGAATACTATTCGTCAACTTACCGACTGCCGAAGAGTCAATTATCGACTGTCGGAAGTTCAGTCGATAAGTCGGTAATTTATTGAATAGTTTCCGCCGCTTTCGTATAGATGGCGCTGTGGTCGAACTTTAAAAATATTTAATTCTAGGCGGTCTTTTCAAAATATAAGTTTGTCAAATAATTATTCTAATAATTTTTCGGCCTTGTGTCTGACTTTTGTCTGACAAAGGGAGTCCAAATTGTGTTTTTTCAGTTGTCAGTGCAAGGTATGATAAAAGAGGGGCTGATAAAACAAGCACGACTGTTGCCTGGGAATGACTGGAACTCCAAAAATAATGATACATCGGATACAAAAGGATGTCAATTATTTTTGCCAATAAAATCCTAGCCAAGCTGTGTGGATAAATAAAACGCGTTTCAATTTATAATTATTATATATAAAAAGAACGCTATTACAAATCTGTATCTAACATTAAGAAGAAATAAAAGAGTTAAACATTGAATATCCTATTAAACGTTTATTACCTCATCATTAGAATTTCAATTTTGAAGTACATTCGTGCGACGAAACGCATTTGTATACACAAATGTAGAGCAATGAACATAGCGCTATTTAAAACGCGTTGTATCTCTATCTTTAAAATTGTTTACACATAACGCAATCCTAGTTTGTTTAAGAAAATAGAAAATCTTTACCAGGAATGAAAAAGGAAATCTGGATTCCGTTTTAACTCTTTCATAGTATAGAAAGTCCTTTTTTTTAATCTCCGGGGAAATCTGAGGTCAATCTAAAGGAAGGAGGAAGCTGAAGGTGTGCAGATAACGCTAGGTAGAAAACGGAGGGCAGTGGTCGCTTATTTGAAGTCAGGTGACAAGCATGTAGACCGATTCGATTGTGTCCGCTGGTTACTCTTTCATCGGGTTCCTCCGCGCTGGGAATTTTAGATTTGATTACAAAACGTGTCGTAGCACCCTCCTACCATCGGCATCGTCTCCTCTACCTCCACTACAATCGTGCTTTCGCCCTTGCAGCTAGCGATGGGATTAACGTTCTCTTGTACCACTAATCTACTCGTGCAATTGAAGATAATAAAACCTCCTCAATAAAAAACTCGTTGATTCTGTAATTTAACATTTGCAGAGATTAAATACAATAGCATAACGCAACTGTAGTATTGTTGTTACATTTTCAATTCGTCGAAATAGAATCGCAAACGAAAAAGATACTCACTGGAATCGGAAATGAAATTGAACAGCGAATCGGTTCCATTGCTACTTTCCAGTCTAGTCCACTACCCCGTTCTGGCTGCACCGATGAAAAACTCTTGTTGCTCGATCGCGACGGAATTATTGGCCGACCGTGCTTATTTATGGCGTTCATTTTCCTGGAGATTGCAAGAGAGGACGGTCCTGGTCTCTCTCGTTCTGGTTCGATTTTTTTGCGGGTGCACGTCAATGCGCGATTTATGGTATGTCAGCTGAGAGGTGAACAGGACGTTGATAACGACGACATTTTGACGTGGAGTATCGTCGTGTGCCAGTCTCACGATTAAATTAATTCCACGACTTTCGAATTTGTTCGATGCGTTTATAGGAATTTCTGCTCCAACGTACTCTCTCCGGTTTCCAACAGAATGACGACGATGACGATGACGATGATATTCTCGGAGTCTCTTTCCGTCGAAAATTAATTACTGAAATTCTTCAATTCAAATATATTACCTTTGCATTACTATGAAAATCAATAAGAGCAGTCTATGAATTATAGGATATTCGCTATTTCATATTCGATACTTGAAATTTGATATTCATAGTTTGATGTTTCCATAATTAATACGAATATTTGATACTCCTAACTCTGCTCCCCTGAAACAGAGAGAAATTAATTTTATCAGTAAACCATGGACTACTGTAAATGTCTGTAGAACATTTGGCAAACTCTGAATCAATAGAATATGAAAAAAAAGATAAAAAAAGTACATGGAACATTATGGGACAACATGAAAACGATTAATCATGTCTTTACATCTTTGTGTCGCATTGAATGAACACTGCATTATACATGATCATTGCCTTAAACAGGATTAGTATGACATTTGGAGGATTTACTAACATATGCTACTGTCTAAATTGTGCAACTCTTCAAAAATTTACTAATAAATGACAATTTATAATATTCTATGTATAAAACTCATCATTGAAGTTAAAAGAATAATTAAAAATTAGACAGCAATAAACTAATATTAGATGTTATTGGATAGACAAATTGATAGATATAAACTATTCACAGGGGAACATGCTCACTGTCATTGGTAACATCATATCCACCCTTTACATATGGCAATGATCCTGTTTATTATTTTGTGGGGATGCGTTGCACTCGTCGAAAGGGTAATCCATACCTGCTGTCACGCACAGAACAAGGGAAAGGAAGGGTTGATCCTTGTTAATGAAATTAATCGAGCATGAAATCGTTCAGCTTGTAATCTGGCCTTTGTTACGCGTGACAATTCATGACCAAGACCTGAAAAATCATAACTTGTATTATTTTAAAAAATAAAAATAAATAAAAATGAATAAAATAAAGGCTTCAGTTTCTTTAATTTCCAATTACAAATCATTGCAAGAACTTACAAATTCCTTTTTTTTTTTTAAATAAATCAGTCTTCTTAATTGTATGCTAATTGGAATAATTATCCATCATCGAAAGCAAAACGTATTCCAAAGGATCCCTACAATAAAATAATATGGTGTATAAGTCAGAAGAAAAGGGATTACGTTGTCGAGGAGGCAAGTGGATCAACGAAGGGATTACCAGGCAAATATTTATGTAGCCAGGCCCCCATGGGACGGTGGATCATCAAATTCCAATGACAAAACGGACACAGCCACCGTTGGTGACAACAGCCCCTCGAAAACAGGGGGTTACATTCACGCATATGCTGCACCATTCGTCGAGCAATTTTATGTCAGCCAGGGATTTCGAATTACCATCAGCCGTAGCGGTGCGCTGTAAGTGAAACGTGATTAAACTCGATCGAAATCATCGTCTATCTCTGGAATTAATCATTCCACCAGAGGACCCAACATTTTATCGTCGAAACGATTCGAAAGGTTTGCAATCCACGGTGATTTAAACAACGCCACTGAAAATAAAAACGCTTTCCGGATAACGTTTCTGATTTCTTTTTTTTATCCCAAAAACAATTGATCGTTAAATAACGAGGTGGATTAGAAACTCTAGCACGATTAAAATAAAATTTTTTATCAATTCTCGTTATCGAGAATAACATTACCTCGTGAAAGCAATTTTCTATCTGATCCAACGGGGATTATTTTCAGTGTATTAGAAAAAAATCGAACGGTGTCAGGATATAGATTCGATTGTGATGGATGATGACGATTCCTTCGTGTTCACGCGGATGGTACGGGATGAAGGACCGTTCAGCCCACATCATTAGTTGTTGAAAGAGAGGATAAAAGAGTCATCTCGCAGGACCATCAATTTTCCAGATAGCTACAGCTGAATCGCACTTTTTCATCCTGAAAGAAAAGTATAATTTCAATCGGTGATTCAAGGATTGCACGGACAATAAATCACGCTGTTTACTTAACCAGGTCGTCCGAAGAAATCTAATTTTCCTTTAACATAAAACTGAAGAGCAAGAAGATATTATTTTTTTTAAAAGCTTTCTTGTTCGTATAGAGAGCACGTAACAGCCAGTTATTCCCAAGGAATCTACTGCAAAGTATTCCTCTGATAAACAGGCTGCTACACCTTATGAATGCTTGATGATGGCGTTTCACGAGGAGTCTCATCCTCCACCGATCTCAAGGGCGAATACTTTTGTCCTCGTCTCTCCAATCGGCTAACTTTCTTTCCGTCCTTAGCATCCCTCGACGGCACCCCGCAACGTTTCCTCGCGCTTTCATCTCCCTGTTACCTTTTCCATCCCCATCCTTCGGGATCTGCCAGGACCAATCGTCGTCGAGCTTCGAAACGAGGTGTGGTGAGTTGTTATCCAGCTCCCAGTCGAGTTAAACCGAGAAAAGATAAATCATAATCATTGAAATGAAATTTAATATTGTATTCCTGGGACTCTTAATTATTTTTCAGGAGATAAGAGATTTTCTGGTTGTATAGTGCCATCATCAGTTAGTGGATACCTTGTATAATATTAATGAAGAGCGTCAAGGGTTTTATTCCAATTTTTATACTTTTGTAAATATCACTGTAAATAAAATTTTTTAGTCAGTAAAAATCATCAATGACTTTACTAGTGAGGAGATCCTAAATCAACGAATTGTAAAACGAACTAAACTAATTAACTCCTAATTTCTCAGTCATGCAAGAGACGAAAAAATAATAATGTATATTGACATAGGTACATGAAAAGATGTTTCCTCGCTTAACCAGTCGGTCGGATATAAAGGCAAGGAAAGTTGTTTCGTACAATCAAATACCTATCTGTTAGTTTGCAGCCTCGCAGGACCACCACCCAGCCTCCTGCCACCGCCAATCGTTGGCGAGCAGAGGAACGAGGGGTGGCCAAGCGAATCCCCTCTTTCCTCGTGGAAACCCTCCCGAGAAGTATTGACCCGGTATCTCTCTCTCAGGCCGCAGATAAGCGAGAAAGGTCAGAGCCATCATGGCCCCCGGCGGCTGTTCTTTTCACCTGACTCCACTTTCAACGTTGTTTCACGCCTTCCCTTGGAAATTTCATACCCTTCCAAACGGATCTTCTCACTAGCAACCTGTAAATTCAATTCGTTGATTATAATTATCTTGTAAATTTTGGTAATATTTACGTTCACTTACATATACAGGAGGCTCGTAACCCTTATAATGATCTGGTCCGTGTGAGCTTGTTAATTAGTAAGCGTTTCACTAGTTAGAACTACGCCTTCATTTGCTATGAATCTCAGGAAATATTCTGGAATATGATGAAAAGATACTTAGTTTACATGGATAATGTAATTAACAAATGGAATTTTTATGTTTAAAAATTAACTGGACGAACAATTAATTAGCAATTAGGGATTGTGTATAGAAAGGGGTGGAGGTTAATTGGAAGGAAGATAACATAATTAACAAATGGAATTTTTATGTTTAAAAATGAATTGGACGAAAGGAAATCGTCTAATTTTAATGTACAATTAATTAGTAATTAGGGATTGTGTTTAGAAAGGGGCGGAGATTAATTAGAAGGAAGATAACATAATTAACAAATGGAATTTTTATGTTTAAAAATGAATTGGATAAAAGGACATCGACCAATTTCAATATACAGTTAATGAACAATTAGGGATTGTGTTTAGAAAGGGGTGGAGGTTAATTAGAAGGAAGATAACATAATTAACAAATGGAATTTTTATATTTAAAAATGAATTGGACGAAAGGACATCGTCGAATTTCAATGCACAGTTAATGAGCAATTAGAGATTGTATTTAGAAAGGGGTGGAGGTTAATTGGAGGGAAGAAATTCGTGTAATTTTCAGCACGGAAGCCATTCCCTCATACATGACATCACTAGATCAGGGCTCGTAACTGCGCGGTGCCCAGCACCTTATTGCTACCTACCACCTAGCCACCCCTTCAACCCCCGTGAATCTCTCACCACCGCGCCATCGAGCCTTAACCAACGATACCCTTGTGTACGTGGTGCTCGCACCACCTGTCTATTTACTTCTTCGTGTATCCTCACTAACACACCAGCCACCCTGTAACGAGGCTCGACCCCATCTCAGCCCTGCTCGTCGAGACCGGGGGAAAAAAATGAAGATTGAAGGGTAAATAGAGAAGAAAGGTAGCCCGTTTATATTCTATTTATCCGATATTAAAGTTCAGGTGTTTTCGATTCGAAGATAGCGGAGAATATCTCGGGGGGTAATAAAAATTCTTTGGATCGCCTCGTAGGATGCCCGGTGGTATCCGACTGCCGAAGGGAGAATAGAAATTTCTATGCTACTAAGTCGGCCAGCGTTAATCAGGAAAATTAACACCTAGCAAGCTTGATATTTCAGAAAGCAACGCGGATTTCATTTGGAAACCAGTTTCACCGCTAGACAAACACGCGTCGTCCACGCTGCTTTGTTACTCTGATCCAACAAATTATTTTCCCTACAATTATTATGAAATAGTTTTTCTAATTTCTTCCTCCAATCTTCAGAAATCCACCCTTTCTGCGCAAGACCAGGAAAACAAAGTGTATTTACCTTCTACGAGAAAATATTGTCTCCTAACTCGAGATCAGAGTCAGACTCGGCTAACTCTACAAACTGTATTAATACAATTTTTTATTTTTAAAAGAATAAAAATGTGAAATTAGCATCCAGGTTTTATCGAACGTTCCGACGCGTCCCTGGAAGTGGCGGGAAGATATCCTTCCGCAAGCCGGCCATGTTACATCCCCCGGGACGGTGAAGCCTCGCCGACTAATAAGTTTCATCCCCCGCGTAGTGAGCACCAATTATGAACTCGCTCCGGCCATAATTAAAAAATGTAATTTCACCGGCAGACCTCCTCGATCTTCCCCGTTAACGATCTCTTACCTGCATACCCAAAGCTGAGAGCAACTTAATCCACGCGTTCTATTAAATAAATAATTCCTCTAAGAGACGAGCTCCCAGAACGATCGGATAACATTATCGGTTATCAGTGGTCCGAGGGATCGAGGTCGAAAGGCGAACGCGCAATGAGCGAGCAAGTACCATTAACGATCCTGTATGTCGTAGGTCTGTTTCACAGTCGGTATGTCGTAAAGCTTTCGCAATTTCAGCAGCCAATCGCAGCCTCTTCAACGATTTTATTAGTCGAACAGTATCTCGACACTCGAGTATCGCATTATCCCTTTCAACCAGACGCGCTTCAATCCTTCGGTTACTTTTTACCTCCGTACGATTTATTTCCATAATCGCCTGCGTCTTCTGTGCGAAACTCTGCAACACGTCGTATGAAAAAAAATAAGATTATTTTTTTTTTTTCTACGAACGTTGCGATTTGATTTTTTGTAAGTTCGATAGCGAAAAGCGTGTCGGGAGAACGGAGCGGTATAGAATTTAATGTCTCTAATTTCGCGCGATCATCCCCTAATTTAATCAAGGCGCCACCCCCGTTCGCTCCACCCACGCCCCCGCTCTCCATCGTTATTCCCGGCTGCGGAATAAGCGGAGCGCGAAGCCGATTTCGCTAACTCGGTTATAAACTCGGTATTATGCCCAGGAATAAATTTCTCCCTTTTCCTCTACCTTCGCTCGCCCACTCTCTATCGCTGCTTATGATGGCCACCATCAAGAGATACGGTGTTCCTTTAAAGTTATAGTTTGCTGGAACACCGTCGAACGAATTCAGAAATTCGTCGTTCATAGACGACGTTCATAAGTAAAATTTCGTGTAAGTTTCGGATGTCGTTCCTTCCATGATGCGCCTCGCGTATGCACTCTGATGCATCTGTCCGTCACGATAAACGATAGGGAAGAAAATAGAGGAATTTTTTTTCTCTCCAAACGATGCGCTCGAAAAAAAAGACAGGAAGTAGGGAAGCAGGATATTCGGTGCTTAAAAGAGAAGCACCTTCGTACAAAAGTGCTCTCCAATTGAGTCTAAGTGGCTCGCCTAATTTCCTTCTAATTTCGTCTCCGCTCTATTTTAAATTACTCTTCGATCTGTTAGTTTCAAATATCGATGTAAAGAGGAATTATAAAAAAATATATCACGTAACGACAGGTGAATTAACCGCAAAGGCGGACATCCGGATGCTCGAGCGTAATAAACTGAAAAGCGAATGTATATTGCTTGCTACCGGGTGTTCTCCAGTTTCGGCCTCTTGTGGCGTCTTCCAATTAGCGTCGATGCACTAAATACGTACAACCTTCGCGCGGACGTGACACATACAGACAGACATTCTTCCGATGGTAAACTAGTAAGTCACAGATGAGATCTCGTAAGCGTGCGGATGGGAAACGGAGAACGCAAGCGTTTCCTTTCATCTTTGCCGCTCGCCATCCCACCTACCCTGGTCTTTCCTCGAAGACAAGTTACCAGTTACCTACCTCGCTACCATTTTAACCATTTCACCGTTTAAAATTCGTCACCGGCTCGAGTGCGAGAGGATCTATCAAAAGTATCAATTTATCAGGAGACGTACGTTCAGGAGAGATAAAAGCCTGAGAATTTTAACGCCTGTTCGAATGCACGAAACGGTACGTTTCGCTTTTTTTTTTTTTTTTCTTCCCACCCTGAGATCAACTCTCGAGAGTTTCGAGTAGCCGTGAGAGAGAAGCACAATGAAAGAGAATACGAAGAAGTCGCTACTCTTTTCAAGTATATCCATATGCCAGTATTTCCGTCAATTTTTTTCCTTATCAAGCCCCGATAAGCGAATAAGTGTCCGTCCAAATGTTACGACGTTTTAGACGAGAAAGGGTGCTCTTGGGAACGAACCTTGTCCCTGGGAGACTTTCTTTAAAATTATAATAAATTAGAGAGGAATCGGGTTTGGTCGAGCGGAAGCGAAGGAAGTCGCGTATTTTTCAGCGGACACCCAAGGACCGATCTCGAGAGATTTTACAGTTATTCGAGGAGGCGCAATATACGCATAAAACCATTAAAGCAGCCGTCGCATCGTTAAGTAGCCTGGCCAGCGGCAACAAAGAGACACTTCCGAAATTTGGGCAATACCTAATGTCCCTTCGGAGATCCTTAAGGATACCAGGACTGTTATTGTGCAGCCCGGCCGTCCCGTAAAAGGTGGCATCTACGAGTTACGAGTCAAATATCGACGAACCGACAAGCCGAGGAAACGTGTACCATAAAAATACGATGATTATTGGGAAACGAGTTGGACGGTTGTAAATTATACCTCCAGGGACATCTTTTCCCGAGTGGAATAATTAAAAATACAATGCAACTTCCTAATGTTTCTTAGGAAAAAAATTCAATAATTTTGCGCTTGCGTCCCGAAATAATATTTAACACGGCCCCGCAATTTACACATTAAAAAAAATATAGAAAAACATTATTTTAAGTAATATTGCTATGGTATAAATAATGTGAAATGGCAAATAAAAAGCTTGAAATTTGAAAATTAATCATTACTATTCTTAATACACAAAATATGCCCAATTTCAACGTGTTAATTTTTTGTTATATTCTCTTGGGAAAAAGAAAAACGCCAGGAAATACGCAAACGGACGGACTATTGAATACAAAAGCGGTCCCCGAACGAATGCACGCCGATCGAACTCGTCGAGTTGTTAATCCGAACGTTTACCCGGTAAAAGTTGACCCGTGCCGATGCGTTCCGCCAGTTCGACAGTTACAAAGCCATTAGCATGCTCATAAAGCCGCGTTTTGTTGGCACAATAAACCCTTTCCGCCACGTGATACACTAATTTCTGGATATTCGCCGATAATTGGCTTAATTCAACCGTCCACCGCGTACTCCCGCCAATAATCTGGAACAACTGGCCGGCCCGGTGATATCCGTATATCAGGCGTCGTTCTGCGGCTAAATCCGAAACGATTCCTTCCAACTACCTTCCTTTTTTTATTTATTAACAAATAAATACTATAAATACTCCTAGACAAGATAAATAAATAGCCACGGGCCGGTAGAAAGAGAATTAATAAAGTTAAACCGGGGACTCTCTCCATGGTCCGCCGTCCGCGAGTTGAAAAAGTAATTCAGTCTTTACAAATGAACTTTTTATGGCTTTTATAACGCTCCGAAGGGTAAATAGGTCCCCATCGATCCCTGTCGATACCTAGGCTCGTGTGAAGACAATGGTAAGGAAAAATTCGAGCATTGTGCCGATTGAAATGTTTATTGAAAGGCTCGTCGCATGATGTTGACCGATGATCATTATGGCGTTAATCCTATTAGATATTGAAAGGCGGTACAAATATTAGAATACGCGTAATGCTTGTTTCCGATTCTGCTTCACGGTGTTTGTAAACCCGAAAGTTACTAATCCGATTTGCCGAACAAAGGTCTGAGAGGTCCGTTAAAGGTGCTTTGCCTTAATTTTATTGGCGCTATCGACTTATTATTAGCGCTTGTGTCCCGTGCTCGATCTTACGGGACCCGTGAACTGCAATAATAGCAGGTGAAAACAACGTCGACTAGTTTCTTATTGACCATTCGTTAACATTCCGATAGTTAATTAAAAGAAAAATTGCAAATTTCCTTTGAAAATGAAGGAAGATCGATAAAATTGTTAAGCTTCGTTTACAAAAAAGCCTTTCTTCGATCAGAATAGATCGTTCAACGAGATGGTTAACATTATTTGGTAGCGCGTAAAATACGCGAACGGTCTCGTCACGCCGTTCCTGTGCACGTAATTTTCACGAACGTGAGGGTGACCGGGGCTTTATAGATTTCGCATAAAGCACAGTTACACCGCACACGCAGGTAAATTAGGCGGTTAATCAAACCGTTTAATCAGCGGCATGATTGCGACCGCATCTGCACTGACTCTGTTCGCGGCAATTATCTCCCATGCAGCTTGCGTTAACCTACGATCGCTTTCAAATTTCAAAAATTTCAACACCCCTTCATTGCTTCCTTCTATCCTATAACTTTTGTTTTATAAAAATATGCCGTCACGGTTTCGAGGAAATAACCATTGTAGGATTTTTTTTTCCGTCGCAAAGAGAGGCCATTCTTACGGTCCTCTTCTAAGCGGATTATAGATTCGAAAAAAAAGAGAAGAGTTTCGGCTAAAGGGTTGAGCTTTTACGATATAATCGATGTTTATATCGGTGAAAATCTGTTTGCACGCGGAAAAAGGTAGCGACGTTAAAATTTTTTCGAATTAACCCCTTGAGTACCTTTCGAAAGGAAAAAAGAGTTACAGGTAAACGATTCACGGGATTAAGTATTTTAGAGTCTGGTTAAGCTTCAGGGAAATCTACCTTCGCCACCCTTGCATTTACAAATCAATAATTTGCATTTTCTAATAGAAAATTCAGTCGATTTCCCAGCGAAACTTATGGAAAATATACGACGCAATAATTTGTAGTAAGATTTCTTTAAGCACCGTTCACCATTCAGATTTCCATGGTCGAGTAACGGAGGGTGTGCTACATTTTAAATTGAACCAACAACACCCGACTATTCTTTCCTCCCCTTCGGACGAACGAGGCGAAGAAAAAAGATGCTCCAGATTTAACTGCTAGTTGTATTTCAAAAAGAATCCAAGTTACGGTACCCCCGTAAAATACGTAGAAAACAAATGTTCGTTTTGAGGGTGGAAAAAAAGAAACGTCGAAGAAGAAGATCGATACCGTTTCGACGGTAGGTAGGTCGTAATAAAAATCGATCAGTTCTCCGTCCCCGAAACATGAATTATGATCCTAAATGGTGGTACCGTTGCTCCAGTTTTGGTTTCGACCCGAAATTAGATGACATAAAATTTTACGCCTCGTTACACCATCAGGTAGGTACACCCGCGATCGAATCGGACTTCTCCAAAGGAAAATGGTACCCGCCCTTCCCCGTTGGCATCCCGGGGAGGAATGACAATGCAGCGAAGGGGGTTCCGTAAATGTATAGGAGTCGGGAAAATTTGAATTAATATTCATATTTTGTTCCCTAAATCACTATTGAAAAAAGAAATGTACCAAATGAAAATAATGTGAAATACGTTTCGTAAATTGATACTGAAGCTGGCGAGTGCAGTTTTGATGGTCGGATAAGAAATTGAAGGCAGAATTATGACGTTCACGGTACTGCCATCGCCCCTGAATATTAATAGAGAAAATATTCAATTTCATTGGTCCGCGTGACATAAAGTGCCATTTTTTTTCCCCCGAAGGGTGGTTCCCGTTCGATGAATTAAAACCGAATCAAAATACGGCCGGATGGTTTAGTTGGTCGGTGAAAGAAGCTCGTTAAAGATTAACTCGAAGTAGAAATTTCGGTGTCGTCGTAAACGTCGAATGGTCGGAGTTTGTGCAAAAATTATTAGCAATCTCTGATCCAATTTCGTGCAAGCCGTTGCTTCGTAGAAATTGCCACTGTATACCTGAATTCGCTCGACTTCTCCTCGATGATTTATTGCTTGTTCATATTGACGATGAACGAGCTAGAGAAAATCATGGAAACATAAGGGGCCGACTAAATAATGGAATTTAATCTAATGACCGGTGTCAATACCTTGCTAATATTGCACCCCTTTGATGGCAAACAATGGGCAATCGATGGACGCAAACAGAATAAAAATTAAATGAACACGACGTTGGTACTATTAACCATTGAATAGCGAAGCCAGGTCAATTGCGACCCAAACGCTAAAATTAAGCGGTGAAATTTCTGAATACCATTGTCTATTAAAATGATTTAAGATTCGAGGTAAAAATGATCATTTTTCAGCTTGTTACACTCATGGACGTTCGAAGATACTAAAAAGTAAGAGTCTACGAATGTCGGAGGGTATTTGCATGCCGTTGGCAAAGGAAAGGTGGAGAGAAAGCGAGAGAAAATCGGAACGATGCAATTTTTACAATTGTAGGGTCATTTAAAATGGAGCAAAGTTTTTACGAGGACAGTCGCGCTTGAAGGAAACACCGTAATAGCGGTGGAAGCAGAGTTCCTTCCTTTTTATGGCGTTATTGCGTACCTCTCTTACGGACAAATTTTCTGTCTTCCGGCACGTCTGCTACAATGGTCGCGACAGATGCATACTTTTTCGAACGATCTCGGTTCATCGTGCCTCTAAAGCGAAGAGTATAATTAAAAAATTGATGCCAAGGAAGGGGAATTGCGATTAAAAATTTTTCCAAAAATAATAGAACGCCTCCTATAAAATTAAAAATAGAAGAAATGCAATCTTGCAACTGTACAAGTTTGTAGGAAAACTTGCACTTGCAAAATTGAAGTTCATCAGCGCGTTGGAAGTTCGCAGAGGACCAATTCCGCCGAATTTGCGCGAGGAAATAACGACAGATAATTTCCGGGAGCTTGCATCCATAAGCTGATGCTGTTGGTGCATCTCGGAAAAATGCATCTCCGAGCGGAGCGACGGTGTAGGGATGAAACGGGAGAAAATAGGCGGGGCGAAGCTCCCCTCCGCCAATGGCGAGCCGATGCACAAGGCGTCGACCAATGGGAGAGCGTGACGGAACGATGGTTGCTCGGTGGATTGGCAAGGTCGTATAAATTGCTGGTAGTCTGGTTCGTCCTTTCAGTCGAACGTTAACGGTTCCCATAGACATATCGCGGTACGAAGAAACGAATTTTTTTTTTTTTTTAAAAACAAAGTAGAATAAGTTCCGCGGCGAAGACGGGGCTGGATCGTTCCCCCTTTCGCGACTTTATGGAACGTCGACGGTAGTGTGAAAAATAAAGGACGATCGAAGGAATTGTGATTGGTGGTGTACGAAAAAAGGACGATCATCGAAGTGAATAATTTTTGAAGAACTTTGGAAAAGATTGAGTGACCAAAATGCAAGGGTATCAGAGGAATTTCGAGGATCAACAGAGAGATCAAAGGGATGAGGAGACGATAGTTGTAGATCTCGTACCGCCGCAGTATCAACTCAGCCCTCCCCACAGTCCGCCGCCGGGGAACATGCCGAAAACACCGGAAAAGGGTAAATTTCTAAATTTCAATTAAATATGTTACTTGCAAAATTTTGATAAATTTGCTTCTAAATATTTTCGGCCGACGGATGAAAAGTTTTGAAATTTTGTCAACTATTCTAACGGGATTTTCTATTGATTTAATAAGTAAAGAAGGTATTCCTAATGCGACTAAATAAAAATCAAACCGGACACAATTAGTAGGTAATTAAGAATACACGGACATTAGAGCGTTAATTACACGAACGGTTAATCCAATTGATTGTTAGTTGGAGCTAAGGTGATTCACGTTAAGGGGTAGTTATATTATCAGGGGGTAGGTCTCGAGCGTGGTAATCCATTGAAAATAGAATAGAATTGACCATGAAAATAAATAAGACTTGAGTAAATCGTCCAATCCCTTCGTGGAAAAGCGACCTCGCGGTTTATTGCGGTAATTATTTTATGGTTACTCCCCTGATTCTCCAAGGCTCGTTTCCGAACATCTATTTTATTACCCTGGGATTTGGTCGTTTGTATTTGGAGAAACTTCGATTGGCACCCCTTGCCTTTGTGTTTCTCTTTCGTAAAGACACTAACGGTTCTTTAAGTGTACTACCTTGCCTCGAATCGCATAATGCATCTACTTTTTTCCCCTTGTATTTAATTTTCAATCGAGGGAATAATAATTACCATCGAACGCGAAGTTAATGAAACGAGGTAATTAAAAAAGCAAACATTTGCAATACAATATCTACTTCTTCGATTCACTGAAAGGGTTAATTACATCGTCGGCGAAGCAAAGAAAATGTGAAAGAAAGGAGTCCAGGTGAAGTCGAACGACCCTCCTAGATCCTTTCAGCTTCCCCTCGTCAACACGATTCTAAAATGCGATCACCCGCTGCTTCCGGAGGCGACAGTGTGTAACCGCATCGCGAAAACAACAAGCGACCGTCTTTTCTCGAAGAACCATTTACCGAGACAAATTGCGGTCGAAAACGAATCGTTTCCTCGAGCTTCGTACTTAAACGCGAACTGATTTCATTACAGAAACCTCGCCGTCGCATCAGCAACAACAGCAACAACAACAGCCGTTGTCCTCGATGGATCCGAATATCAGAAGATACCGTACGGCGTTCACTCGAGAACAATTGTCTCGTTTGGAGAAAGAATTTCATCGGGAAAATTACGTGAGCAGACCGAGGAGATGCGAATTGGCTGCGCAATTACATCTACCGGAATCCACGATCAAGGTTCGTCCAGATTTTGTATTAATTATATTGATCGATCAATTAGATGATCGTTTTTAACCGCGCTATTACGACAGAATATTTATCGAGGATAAGTAAACGTATAGCAATAAAGTAGAGTAAACAATGAGCTCATCTCACGATCTACGCTTAGAAAAGTGTTCTATTAACACCTCGGTCTGTTTAATTAATGTCGGTAATCGACAGTCGCGAAGGTGTACAGGGAAAAGCCTTGAGTGCTGTTTCGTTCCTCGTTACGCAATAATTCCGTCAAACGAAGCCGTAGTTAAAAATAGCAAAATTAAAAGATTTAAGAGCAAGATTAAGAGAAATCGTCGTGCTTGAACGACGATTATAGCTCGAAGAAGAGAAGAAGACTCGGCAGAGTCTCGGTTGCCAACTCCTCCACGTTTCTTCTTTCTTTCTATCTATCTTTCAACCGAGCAAACAGTCAATCACGAAGGGCAAACAAAAGTATTCTCGGTCTTTAGCTCGCTTCGATCCCCTTGATCCTTTTTCCGTGACTTCTTAATTTCTTTCGACCACGACCGGTCGATCCGGTTGCGAGGTGTTAAGCACTTTAATTAGCGATTTTCCCGGTTTACCTTTTGACTTTAATGGATCCCTTAATTTCTCATCTCGCACCGCTCGGACCGCACACAATAGCTATAAAAACGTCTACCGATGGAAATGATCGAGGTGTTAAATGGTAGAAACGTTAGGATACCTTCGAAACTTTATACCTTTAATTCCAACTCTTTTAACCCTTTTCAACGGCTATCAACCGGACGTATGCACACCCTTCGTTCCAACGATACTAAACAAATTATTTCACCGTTCATTAATAATTCCTAATCTAATCATATTTTTCAAATTACAGGTCTGGTTTCAAAATCGTCGCATGAAAGACAAGCGGCAACGAATGGCTATGGCATGGCCGTACGCCATGTACACGGACCCGACGCTAGCTGCCACCCTGCTAGCAGCAGCGACGGCCACCCTACCGCCACCCCCGTATCACGGTGCACCAGGTTTGCCGACTTCTCACCTGGCCCCGGGTTACCCGGCAGCCGCAGCAGCCGCGTACTACGCGGCCAGATACACGCCGTATCCTACCGGTGTTCCAACCACCAGCGCGTCGTCCCTTCATCGGCCGCATCCGCGCACCGCAGCCGCTTACCCGGCGCACCCTCATCTCCTCCAGCATCACCCGTCGCTGCCGCCCCTGCACTTGTCGGGCCTGGGCGTTCCTACTGTCGCGAACACCGCCTTCCAGGTGAACAACCCACCCACCAGCGCGGCCGCCACCTACAGGCCTACCCTGTTGCCCGAGCTGAGTCCCGTTCACTCGGACACGTCGAGCGATTGCGACTGCGTCGGCGCGCAGCCACATCACCCGGCGCATCACGCCAACGGGCAACAGATACACGAGAAGACCAGCCCCCCGCTGCCCACCTCCCACCCGTCCCAGCACCTAAAGCTACCATCGGGCCTGAGCATCGCGGGTTTGCCAACCAGCATCCAGACGATCGGTGCTTTCGAAAGTAAAAATCCGTACGCCAGCATCGTCTCGACGCCGACCGTGCAGACGACCAAAATTGACCCACCGAAATTATTCCAGCCGTACAAGAACGATATCTCCGAGAGAGCGTAGAAGATCGAAGGGAATCGTTTGAAATACGAAGCTGGCTTCTGAACGATAGGGGATGTATCGACCGGTGATTGATATCGTGTATTAATCCTTGCGATGGTTAATTGTCAGTTGGAATTCTGAAGGAAACGCGATTCTAATTTACCAGTCGGATTTTCATCTTCCTTTCGACGCGTTAGATGTAAATGTAAATATTATAAGTTGTAGATCGATCTACGAAATTGTACAAAATCCCCTGTGTATTATAGTCTCCCTTGTATGTACAAAAGTAATCGATCGTGACTGCCAATCGGATCGACGAGACTGAGTATGTGTTTCGTGGTGTAAATATGTCGACTGATTGTTTAAAAAAAAAAAATCTTGTACCTGTTGATAAGGATAATGTATCGCTGTGCGACCTTTGTATAGAATGGAAAGAGAGAAATTCTACACGATTAAGTGTGAAGTTAGAGTGATTAGCGACGTAGCGATGTACATAGAGTCTTTAAGTAATTTATTATGATCATTATCTTCCGAGTTTGTAGAGCAACTGGAATCTATCCGTTAGGATGAGAAAAGTTTCCCGAGAAACTCTCGACGCGCAATTTTACTAGTAATGGCGAGTAGCCACGAACGTCTCCGTTAGATTGTCGGTATTTATGCTTGGACATCTACGTGTTTACTTAAAAAGATATTACATCAAAGAAGAAAGAATAAATATTATATATGATCTACAGATTTGCTAACTAATCGTTAATATATAATTAAATTCAATTCAATCGAAACTTTTATTTTCTCATTAAACACACCTTCACCCCACTTTCACTCTACCTAATTAATCATAAAAATGATATAATTTTTAATTATCGAGTCGTGTTGATAAATGGATGAAATTACGAATCGAGCCGATTTCGGGGTACGGGATTTTAGCTTTTCCGAGGGTGGCCGCGTTAATTAACCTTGCCAACGATTTTCCCGGGGAACGAGATAATCCCGTATAAACGCCGCCGGTTTAACAACCCATTTGGGTTTAACTATGAGCCTACTATCACCCACATCTCCCTCTCGTTTCTCTTTATTCATCATGGACCACCAGAAGGGGGCGCAAACACGACTTCAACTATTTATTTCCTTCCTCCTTCGCATCGAAGATTAATTACTCGAACCCTGTTTTAAGCTTGCAATTGCAAAACAGAGAATTGAACATTGCACTGGCGAATGCAATGAACCAGACTTGATACCTGCCACTCGTAAAATCATAAAATCTCGAGTCTCGGTACCGAGTTAGGGTGGAAAGAAAAAAAAGTCGCTACGCTGATCTACCGTCATAAATATAAAACGAGCCGTTTTGTTGGTGGCCCGTAAAAAAATCATCGAAAAAATTTTTCGGCAAAGCCTATCAGCCGAGTGGAGGTAAAAAAGGTTCGTCAGGAAATTATTAAATAATTTAAACGTTATATTATCCTATCGTTGTAAAGCGTTTTAGTATATTCCTCGACGGTCAAATAGTCACGGAGGTACCTATTAGCGCATTGAATATTTTCTTTTTCTTTTTTTGTCACCTTCACCCTCGAACCATTTTTAAGGGCTATAACAACTGTCTCTTTTTTTTATTTCCCCTCAAACTGGATTAACCGAATTTACTTGAAACAAGAAGGCGCGATAAAGAAATGTAAGGGTTGTTGGATACAAATCAATCTCTATCACTGGATCGATCATTCTGTTCGCGTGCTATTCTACCGTGCGAGTTCATCAAATATTAATATCCAATTTATACGTTCGATGGAGGAATCATCCCCCTTCGAAATCGCCCCTCGCCTCGAACGGATCGTCATCCCTCCGTTTAGATGCCGGTCATTCTTCGACGAATCACGCTCGATCGTCGAATTGTATTATCTTATCTGACGAGCCATTAAGCGTCGTTTAGACGATGCCTTGCTAACAATCTATTTGCAGTATTGCTCGGAGGGTGGAAAAGGAGCAGCATCCTTGCGTCAGGGCAATAAGCTCGCGATAGTTTCTGCTTCGAGATAACGATACTAACATGGCGTTATTTAGAGGGGTTCTTCTCACCCAACATCGTTGCATATCAAAGCTGACCGTTTTCCTGATTTAATACGTATCCTTCCTTCAACTTTTCCAAATTATCGTCGTTCGAAAGGAAAGTTTCTCGTTATCCGGAATCGTAAGTGGGTTCGATTGGGGGGGTTGTTGCGACCGCAGGAAACGCTTCACGGTAGGATCTTTTTTGTCCCCGGGAAAGAAAAGGAAACCGGCGTGTTTCTGAGACGAGTTTAAACCGTGATCGAGTTTGTCTCGTCGACGTAAAGAAATGTCGACAGCTTTTGGTCATGTCTCCATAGACCTCCCGTGGCTGAGAACTACAAAGTTACGTGTCCGCGCGAGATAGACGGAAAGCCCCGAGCGGATACGTATCTTTTTGCGAATCGAATCGCCGATTTCACGCGTTCTGTCCGACAGAGACCGGCGAGAAACATCTATTTAACGAAATTCCAGCCTGTTGAAACGTTCCGGACGTTCGTTCGACGAATAAGAACAGACTATCGGGAAAGGAAAATTATTTTACCGATAGAAAATTTGGAAAATATCCGTCCGTGATAGACTAAGGAGCCCTGTTCGGGGAATAAATTTGGGGCTGCGTGACGATAGAACATTAGGCACAATATTTGGGTGAAGGCGAACCTGTGGCTAATTGAAAAGTCAAAACTGCTGAAAGGAGCTGCCTGTTAGTCGTGAAAGCGTGGAGGCGTACCACCCTACGGGACGTCCCGGGGAGTCTCTCACAAAAAGGGGGATGCTGCCCCCCGACTGTGATTCAACCATTACGAGACGCACACCTTTTCCGACGAAATCTGTTTTCACGAATTTTCACCGACGGAAAAGAGACGTTATTGAATTTAATCAAACTCAACAAGTATTAATAAAAATTTTCTGTGGCTCGACTACCCCTACACCCCCAATTTTATATAAATATTAATTCATTTTTCTTATTATTCTATTTCAATTACAGGAGGAAAAGATTGTATTATTATTTCGGAAAAATATGAAAATTATTGACTCGCCCCCGCAGGACCCCCATAGAAGTCTGTTAGGCAACAAGAGCCATGGGGTAGGTTATACAGCCGGTTACTGTCATAAATGGTACAAACCGAAAGATTTGGTCGAACCGTCGGTTTTTTCTGCGGGGAAAAAACGGGCCCCTTTACGACGTCCATGAAGCGTCCAGTTAGCGTTCGTTCGGACAAGTTAACCCTTTCTACCATCAATGTTTTTTTTTTGCTTAAATAGCCGCAACTACGTTCGGCAGCTTCTTTACTGCTCTTAGGGCACGCTTTTTGCCCCAGTTTTTCTACCGTTTTTTCTTCCTTTCTAACAGGCTTGCTAAGAGACACAGTTTTTTGACCCAGAAAAAAAAAAGTACCGCTGCGGGTCGCGGACGGATTCTTCTGTCCATCGCGTACCAGAGATATCGGCACGGGTTTTAAGGGTAGTTTTTGAAAAAAAAAGAAAAAACGATAGTTTCCAGTAAATATTGTAACTAGCGATCATGGAAAGGTAAAGTATGGAAGGGAAAAAGGAATCACGAAGAAATAGTGTTAAATACCATACGTTTTATGCAAATCAGTGGGATTCGTCGAATCAATTTCACGCGGACGATCCCTAATTCTAATTGTCGATTCGATCTCTAATAGGATAATATTTCCCTCATAAATGGCAAGCATGGCGAATGTTCGCTGCGGCGGGTACCAATAAATAACTTTGCCCTATTAGTTTCCAACTGACTCTCGATACGAACCGTGACGGATCTTTTCGAGTTCCTTGCTCCCAATTCGTCCTTTTGTCGATCGATTATCGACGCCGATACAGAGTATAACTGTGGGAATTAATTCGGGAAACTAATCGGTGCCCTCTTTTTGGTCTGTGGGAACCTTCGATCAATGTTTCAGAGATCTACTTATTAGAATTTTATCCAAGAAAAATTTTCAACAATTTCCTGTTTCCTTCTCTAATGGAGTTCCTGTGGAACGCCATAAAACGATGAAATTGTACCGAAACTTGGAAACGACTTTTGCGAATTCGAGAGAGCGGCTACGAAACAGTTTCTGTTCGGGCACATAAAAGGGGGAAAAATCGAGCTGAGGCATCCGCTGTGATCTTCCTCTCGTTATTTTCCTTTACCTCTTACAGGCAATACACAGACTGTGTCGCTAGTCTCGGAAAAATCGGCAAAGCCTAGGCACAACAGAGAGAGAGAAGACGAGCTACGGAAAAGGCTGGACAGATAATAAACCAAAATAAAACCATCCGAAGATTTATTGCTGCCAAGTCTTTTCGTCACCCAATGCCCGTTCGCACGGACCTTTCTTAGTTGACTGCAAAACGCAGTAATTTCTACCAAAACCTACCCTCCGACAATCTATTGTCGTACGGTTAAGAATATTCCAGGGGCGCAGGAATTTTCCAAAATTTTCCATATCTTGTAAATCATACTTTATAGTCCGACAGTGTCAATAAACGTAACTCCTCGGAATGAAATAAATTAAACCACGTGTATCTTAGCACATCTTGTTTCTTATTTTCAATAGACACGTTGAAGGAGGAAGATGATGGAAAATTCGAACGAGCGAATTCAGGTGGTGGAAGATCAAAAAGGTAGAACCTGGTAAACTGCGAGAGCATAAATGCGTAAACGCATAAACCTCTGTTCGAAGGCAGGATTTTTCGAAAAAATTTACGACCCCCGATTGTATCTGGAGGCCGCAGCCTCGCGTAGAGGAGCCACATTTTCCAAGGAATTTTTCCGCAAACACGCAAGGACGAACCGAGGTCTACCGCTCTGGCCAATGCGGTGGACCGAATTACCTTATCTCAATGAGGTTTCGGTAAAATAAAATTTTGCAACTCGAATCTAGACACTTGGTAACGGTAGGAAAGAAGGGATTCGATAACTTGGAAATGCGGGAAAGCGAGGGAAGCGAACGCGACACGGTTTCAGGGCGATAATTTATTTGGCCTAGCCAGGATTTACGGGGTCCGATATTGGATAATGAATCAGGTCTCCCTTGATGGAATTAACTCACCTATAGCCGGCTACGTTGCTGTCTCTTCTCTAACCTTTATTAGCTTCCACAGGGAACGTGTGGAAACCCTTTGCCTCGTTTTACGATCGACCTACGTCCTGATGAGATCCGCGGCTTTATGTAACTTTATCTCTTTATACACGTTGCCAGAACGATCTTTTATATCTCACTCTTAAGACTAATTACGACGCTAATTGTTAACTTTTGTTCGTTCATAATTTATGCGATATTTCGTTCAAATTTTCCCACCCGAAAATTCGCCC